TGGGAATTGTAGTTCAATGGGGCACCTCCACTTTTTGGAAGAGAAGGCTCAAGACCTTGGGAAACTGCAACTCCCATGAAAACCAAGAACATGGCTTTCATTTGAACTGTTGTGGTGCAATGCTGTAGGAATTGTAGTTCAATGAGGCATCTCCAGTCTTTGTTTGAGAAGGTTCAAGATCTTGGGGAATTACAACTCCCATGAAAACCAAGATCATGGCTTTCATTTGCACTGTTATGGTGTAATGCTGTGGGAATTGTAGTTCAATAAGGCACCTTCACTCTTTGTTTGAGAAGGCTCAAGACCTTGGGGAACTACAACTCCCATGAAAACCAGGACCATGGCTTTCATTTGAACTGTTATGATGCAATGCTGTGGGAATTGTAGTTCAATGGGGCATCTCCACTCTTTGTTTGAGAAGGCTCAAGACCTTGAGGAGTTACTACTCCCATGAAAACCAGTACCATGGTTTTCATTCAAACTGTTATGGTGCAATGCTGTGGGAATTGTAGTTCAATGAGGCATCTCCATTTTTTGGAAGAGAAGGCTCAAGACCTTGGGTAACTACAACTTCCATGAAAACCAGGACCATGGCTTCAGTTCGAACTGGTGTGGGACGATGCTGTGGGAATTGTAGTTCAATGAGGCACCCACACTTTGGAAGAAAAAGCTCAAAACCTTGGGAAACTACAACCCATGAAAACCAGGAACTTGCCTTCCATTCGAACTGTTATGATGCAATGCTGTGGGAATTGTAGTTCAATGGGGCTGTTCCACTCTTTGGTAGAGAAAGTTCAAGATCCTGGGGGACTACAACTCCCATGATTCTATATAGTGGAATGTCTTTTCTCCCCTTGCAAAGAAAACCCTTGGAGACAGCAACCAAACACCGAATGGACTTGAAATACCAGAATTATAGAGTTTGAAGGGATCTCCAAGGGCCATCCATCCTATCCAACCCAACCCCATTCTGTCCTAAAGGAAGACACCACCCAAGCCCTCCAGACAGATGACCATCCAGCCTCTGCATAAAATCTCCCACAATCTGCAAGCCTTGTCATTGTTTTGTTTTTTGTGTGAAATGCATGTCTTTTGAACAAACTATAGTTTGCAAGATTTTGAATGCTCGCTTCTACTCACCGAGTAGACATTGTGGCTTAGGTCGGATGAACTTCCTGGATTCCCCTGTTTCAAAGCAAACAAACAAACAAACAAATTTGAGATTTAGCCACCGACAAATTTCCCAAATTAGTTCCAGATCCTGACCCTTGCTGAGTACATCAAGAATGACTGCAGTTTGATCCCATTTGAACTGCCAAGACTCAGTGCTTTGGGATCACGGGAGTTGTAGTATTGCAAGGTCTTCTCTGTGAAAAAAAGAGTGCAAATTACAACTCCCAGGTTTCCATAGTATTGAAGTGGGCACCACAACTGAAGGGAGATGTTGGCAAACTGGAATGTGTCCAGAGGAGGATGACCCAAATGATCTAGGGTCTGGAGAACAAGCCCTATGAGGAGCGGCTTAAAGAGCTGGGTATATTTAGCCTTCAGAAGAGAAGGCTGATAGGAGACATGATAACCGCTGCTCTGAGTCGCCTCCGGGCTGATATGAGCGGGGTAGAAATAATGCAAATAAATCAATATGGGAGGGGAAGTCATAGTCAGTAGTGCCTAATAATTCAAAAAAGCCCCACCCTAAACTACATTTCCCAGAACTCTGTTCACTTCCCACATTAAAGCACTTTGTTTTCTCCACTCCAAGTTGGAGAAGTTACTTTTAAAATGCAGATCCTGCATTGCCTCCAGGTCAGCAGAGCCTGAGAATTCAAAAGGCCCCACCCTAAACTACATTCCCCAGAATTCTTCTCACTTCCTACATTAAAGCACTTGGTTTTTCCCACTCCAAGTTGGAGAAGTTACTTTTAAAACGCAGATCCTGCATTGGCTCCAGGTCAGCAACGCCCGAGAATTCAAAAGGCCCCACCCTAAACTACATTCTTCAGAATTCTGCTCACTTCCTACATTAAAGCACTTGGTTTTCCACTCCAAGTTGGAGAAGTTACTTGTATAATGCAGATCCTGTATTGCCTCCAGGTCAGCAGTGCCTAATAATTCAAAAAGCTCCACCCTAAGCTACATTTCCCAGAATTCTGCTCACTTCCTACATTAAAGCACTTGGTTTTTCCTACTCCAAGTTGGTGAAATTACTTTTAAAATGCAGATCCTGTATTGCCTCCAGGTCAGCAGCCCCCAAGAATTCAAAAGGCCCTGCCTTAAACTACATTCCCCAGAATTCTGTTCACTTCCCGCATTAAAGCACTTCATTTTTCCCACTCCAAGTTGGAGAAGTTACTTTTAAAATGCAGAACCTTTATTGCCTCCAGGTCAGCAGTGCCCAAGAATTTAAAAGGTTCTGCCCTAAACTACATTTCCCAGAATTCTGCTCACTTCCTACATTAAAGCACTTGGTTTTTCCCACTCCAAGTTGGAGAAGTTACTTTTAAAATGCAGATCCTGCATTGGCTCCAGGTCAGCAGCGCCCAAGAATTCAAAAGCCCCCACCCTAAACTACATTTTTCAGAATTCTGCTCATTTCCCACATTAAACACTTTGTTTTCCCCACTCCAAGTTGGAGAAGGTACTTTTAAAATGCAGATCCTGCATTGCCTCCAGATCAGAAATGCCCAAGAATTCAAAAGGCTCTGCCCTAAATTACATCCCCCAGAATTCTGTTCACTTCCCGCATTGAAGCACTTCGTTCTTCCCATCCAAGTTGGAGATGTTACTTTTAAAATGCAGATCCTGCAGTGCCTCCAGGTCAGCAGCGCCCAAGAATTCAAAACGCCCCACCCTAAACTACATTCCCCAGAATTCTGCTCACTTCCCACTTTAATGCACTTGGTTTTTCCCTCTCCAGTTTGGAGAAGTTTCTTTTAAAATGCAGATCCTGCATTGACTCCAGGTCAGCAGCACCCGAGAATTCAAAACGCCCCACCCTGAACTACATTCCCCAGAATTCTGCTCACTTCCCACATTAAAGCACTTGGTTTTTCCCTTTCCAAGTTGGAGAAGTTTCTTTTAAAATACAGATGCTGCATTGTCTCCAGATCAGAAATGCCCAAGAATTCAAAAGGCTCTGCCCTAAACTACATCCCCCAGAATTCTGTTCACTTCCCGCATTAAAGCACTTCGTTCTTCCCACTCCAAGTTGGAGAAGTTACTTTTAAATTGCAGATCCTGCATTGCCTCCAGATCAGCAGCGCCCGAGAATTCATAAAGCCCCGCCCTAAACTACATTCCCCAGAATTCTGCTCACTTCCCACATTAAAGCACTTGGTTTTTCCCACTCCAAGTTGGAGAAGTTACTTTTAAAATGCAGATCCAATATTGTCTCCAGGTTAGCAGTGCCCAACAATTCAAAAGGCCCCACCCTAAACTACATTTCCCAGAATTCTACTCGCTTCCCGAGTTAAAGTTTCAATGTGAGTGTGGTCTCTGCCTCTCTCTGGGCTGGCCATGTGTGGAGGGGCTTCTTCATTCCTGGTCATCCTTCCTTTCCTTCTTTGGGGAAAAAACAGAGCTTCTTCCTCCATTCAGGCCTCACCAACCTCCTTGGGGCTTTCTGGTGAACCACACCCAGTGTCACTTATGAGAAAAGTCATAGCTCAGTGTTTTGAATCTTAAGTTTTTTTTGCGTGGGGGTCCCCAGCCTTTTCTTAATATCGACTCGTATGCACAAATCTTATGAAATAGATCTGAAAACCGAATTACAAACGAAGTTTTGCACACTCCTAGATGGTATACTAGATGATCTCGGGACTCTTGACCTGAAGACTCAACCAAGAAAGCCTCAACGCTCCCCTTGGCTTTGCAAGGCTTGAGTAGAATTGTACAGGAGTTGATTATAAATTGTATGATTTTAACTGTATTTGTGTTTAGATTGGCTGCAGTAATGCTGGAGTGGCCTAAGTCAGAGGAGTCCTCCATGTGCGTTGCCATGGAGACCGATGCAGGAGAGAGGGAAGTGGGAGGAGCTTAGAGAGGAGAGTTTTGAAAAAAACAACAGTTAAAAATCAGTTAGGGTTTAGGTTTAGAGGAGTGAGCAGTCTGGGTTTAGGTTCAGAGGAGTCAGGAGTTAGGTTCAGAGGAGTGAGGAGTTAGGAGTTGGGAGAGAAGGAAAGGAAAGGTGGCAGAGTGACTTGTGAAGCAAAACTTTGAGGCTTTGAAAAGCTGGGCTTGGCTATTGGAAGTTTCTCAGGCTAGTGCAGCCGAATGGTGAAACATAGCTGGTATTTTTTTAGTCTAAGGAGAGGCTAAAGAATACTTTACTTAGTATTTGATATAGGGAGGATCAACTAAGAGAAACATCCCTGTATGGAAACTTTGTCTGAAACAAGTGCTCTACGTCAGAAAGATACTGTGTTACTTGAAAGAATGAACTGTTAAAGTTACAAGTATTATTCCAAGTGCAACAAGGAAAAGTTATGACTTGCAACCACATGCTGTGTACTTAATAAAATTGTTAACTTTTATTTGAAGATTGCCTCAGCTCCGTCTATTCTGTGTCCAAAGTGCCATTTCTCACAATATTACAACTTACCTCACGTGGTGGCAGAAACGCAGGGAAAAGTAACCAAATAAATCTACATTCTTCTCTCCAGACATGCTACAGTATATACAGTGTAATTACTACTAAGTTGATACTTTCTTAATAAAGGAGGAGGTGCAATTGAACAGCCTCCCTTCTAACTTGATGGTAAATTTGGTTCCTAATCGGCAACCTCCATTGCAAATCGGCTAAGTCTTTTTAAAATTGGGAACTGGGGTAAAATCTCCTGAATACTGGTTCCTTTCAAATTGGTGGCAACAATAAATCATCCCTCAGCTCTCCTGCTTCTTTTCAAGAATAGTTCAGGATTTAAGGTTCTCTGATTCGTCGAGGCCCCAGACATTGAAATAAATGTAAATAGCAAAGAGGAAGGAGAAGGAGCTGGGCTCACCCCGATTGTCCTCTGTCCTGGACGAGAGACATTGTCATAGGCTGGAGGTCCAGATTGGATGGGGTCTGAGGTGGGTTTCTTTCTCTGAGGGCGGATCCCTGCAGGAAAGGAAAGAAAGCAAGGAATCACAAGTTGGTAGGAAACCCTGATTTGTCAGGCTACAGCTCCCATCATCCTCAACCATTGTCTATCCTGATGGCAAGAAGGTCTATTTGGGTGCTCTTTGGCACAAGGACCTTATAATAGCAGAAGCCAGTAGGTGGAACTAGTGCTCTGTCTGGACCTGGCCAACTTCTCATTCAAAACCTTCTGTTTTATCCCTTTTAGATACTTTAAGGTTGAAGAGGCTTCAACCCACTCCTTCCTCAACAGCCTCTCTTTCAACAAGTCCTCCCCTTTGTCCTTCCAGCCTTCCTTCATGGTTCTCCCATCCTCTTCCCAGCTATTTTCAGCATTTTTCCTTATCAAGGCTGTCATAGAATCCTAGAGTTTGAAGAGACCTGGTGGGCCATCCAGTCCAAACCCATTCTGCCAAGAAGCAGGAAAATTGCATTCAGGTCAGAAGTGCCCAAGAATTCAAAAAGCCCCACCCTAAACTACATTCCCCAGAATTCTGCTCACGTCCCATATTAAAGCTCTTGGTTTTCCCCTTTCCAAGTTGAAGTAGTTACTTTTTAAATGCAGATCCTGCATTGTCTCCAGGTCAGCAGCACCCGAGAATTCAAAAGCCCCACCCTAAACTATATTTCCCAGAATTCTGCTCACTTCCCACATTAAAGCTCTTGGTTTTTCCCTCTCCAAGTTGGAGAAGTTACTTTTAAAATGCAGATCCTGCATTGCCTCCAGGTCAGCAGTGCCCAGGAATTCAGAAAGCCCCACCCTAAACTATATTCCCCAGAATTCTGGCTCACTCCCCACATTAAAACACTTGGTTTTTCACTTTCCAAGTTATTTTTGGCATTTTTCCTTATCAAGGCTGTCATAGAATCCTAGAGTTTGAAGAGACCTGGTGGGCCATCCAGTCCAAACCCATTCTGCCAAGAAGCAGGAAAATTGCATTCAGGTCAGAAGTGCCCAAGAATTCAAAAACCCCCACCCTAAACTACATTCCCCAGAATTCTGCTCACTTCCCATATTAAAACTCTTGGTTTTCCCCTTTCCAAGTTGAAGTAGTTACTTTTTAAATGCAGATCCTGCATTGTCTCCAGGTCAGCAGCACCCGAGAATTCAAAAGCCCCACCCTAAACTATATTTCCCAGAATTCTGCTCACTTCCCACATTAAAGCTCTTGGTTTTTCCCTCTCCAAGTTGGAGAAGTTACTTTTAAAATGCAGATCCTGCATTGCCTCCAGGTCAGCAACACCCGAGAATTCAGAAAGCCCCACCCTAAACTATATTCCCCAGAATTCTGGCTCACTTACCACATTAAAGCTCTTGGTTTTCCCCTTTCCAAGTTGAAGTAGTTACTTTTAAAATGCAGATCCTGTATTGTCTCCAGGTCAGCAGTGCCCAGGAATTCAGAAAGCCCCACCCTAAACTATATTCCCCAGAATTCTGGCTCACTCCCCACATTAAAACACTTGGTTTTTCACTTTCCAAGTTATTTTTGGCATTTTTCCTTATCAAGGCTGTCATAGAATCCTAGAGTTTGAAGAGACCTGGTGGGCCCTCCAGTCCAACCCCATTCTGCCAAGAAGCAGGAAAATTGCATTCAGGTCAGCAGCGCCCGAGAATTCAGAAAGCCCCACCCTAAACTATATTCCCCAGAATTCTGCTCACTTCCTACATTAAAGCTCTTGCTTTTTCTCTCTCCAAGTTGGAGAAGTTACTTTTAAAATGCAGATCCTGCATTGCCTCCAGGTCAGCAGCACCTGAGAATTCAGAAAGCCCCACCCTAAAGTATATTCCCCAGAATTCTGCTCACTCCCCACATTAAAGCTTTTGGTTTTCCCCTCTCCAAGTTAGAGAAGTTACTTTAAAAATGCAGATCCTGCATTGTCTCCAGGTCAGTAGTGCCCAAAAATTCAAAAGGCTCTGCCCTAAACTACATTTCCTAGAATTCTGCTCACTTCCCACATTAAAGCAGGGTTTTTCCCTCTCCAAGTTAGAGAAGTTACTTTAAAAATGCAGATCCTGCATTTGTCTCCAGGTCAGTAGTGCCCAAAAATTCAAAAGGCTCTGCCCTAAACTACATTCCCCAGGATTCTGCTCGCTTCCCGGGCGAAAGCCTCAATGTGAGTGTGGTCAAGAATAAGGCTCTACAGTCACCTACATGCCCACCCTGGAAGATCATCCTACTTGGACAACGAGGGATCTCCTAAGTAAATGTATGTCTCCACCCTCTCCCAGATTGGTAAGGAAACACAGGAATTCTGGGAAGTGTCTGAAGTCTTACGGAGAAAGAAATAAAGCAGGCCTCCAACCAGGGCCAATCCCAGTGCCAGGCTCCCAACCACGATCCCAGCAATGGCTCCAGGTCCAAGCCCCGATCTTTCAGGTCCTTCAGGTTCACTGGGAGAATAAGGAGGATCTGCCAAAAAAAGCATATGTTTAATTCAGCAGGACTATCATGTTCAATAGTAAAGGATCAATGTATTGTCAGAGGCTTTCATGACTGGAACCATTGGGTTGTTGTAGTTTTTTGGGGCTATATGGCCATGCTCTAGAAGTCTCACAACCTCTGAGGATGCCTGCCATAGATGCAGGTGAAACATCAGGAGAGAATGCCTCTAGAACATGGCCATATAGCCCCCAAAAAACCTACAACAACCTAGCAAAGGATCAAATTGGTGGTAATTTGCTACCATCGTGGGTCAGGATGCTCCAGATGGGGTTTTCCAACCTTGTGACACACCTTCCCATTTTGTGTGGACATCCAACTTTTCACACCAGAAAGAAGGGGGAACACTGCAAACATTGCACAGCAAAAAGAAGGGAGAATATTGCAAAATGTTGCAAAATGAAAAGGTGGGAGAAACCTACCATAAATGGGTCCAGCCCTATTCCCACCCCTCCAGAACTCAGCCATTGGTTTTAAATGTCATTCCAATGTCTCGAGTGTGGATGCCATGTATGGCCACAGCAGCAAGACTGCCGTATGCATCAAGATGGAACAATGGCTTCAAACTACAAGAAAGGAGATTCCTTCTGAACATGAGGAAGAACTTCCTGACTGTGAGAGCCGTTCAGCAGTGGAACTCTCTGCCCCAGAGTGTGGTGGAGGCTCCTTCTTTGGAAGCTTTTAAACAGAGGCTGGATGGCCATCTGTCAGGGGTGATTTGAATGCAATATTCCTGCTTCTTGGCAGAATGGGGTTGGACTGGATGATAGCCCAGGAAGTCTCTTCCAACTCTTTGATTCTATGATTCTATGGAAGGATTTGAGATTACCTTTCACGATGGAACGGAGAGATTGAGCAGAAACGGACAAAGTGTTTGACCCCAGTCTCCGCTGGTCACTGGTTGTGGATACTCACCATTCCGCAACTTGATAGTGACGGTGGCAGTACCCGTCCTTTTGGTTCTGTTGTTGTAAGCCATGCACATGTAATATCCTGCATCGTCCCAGGTCGTTGCATGCATGCTGTAGAAACTTCTGGTCACGTTCGTATCGCTATAATTGAAAAACCACCGAAACTGTGCTGGAGGGTTGGAGTCGGCGATGCAAAAAAGGTTTGCACTGGAACCGAGTCCCATTGTGATCCCTACCAAACCCCCATTGAGGTTAACATCATCAGGCCCATCTGGAAAAGAAAAGGGGGAAGTGAAGTCGAACATGACCCCCCCCCCCCATAAGAGATAGTAACGTATAGTTTTGCTAAGGGCAAGGACGCCAGGCTGGATTATAAGGGTTAAGCCTTGGTCAGTTTGGTGTGTATCGTTTAATCAAGGCTTTGTGCCCTATTTTCATATGTTTTCATATATTATTGAAAATCATGCCACAAAAGTATTTGACTTTTTCCATCTGAGACACACACCTGGGCTCCTGAAGGTCCCCCGTCTCACTCTCTTTCCCCCTCATGGAGATATTTCCCTTTATGGACCTTCCTATGAATAATATGAACTATGGACACCGGGGGAAGGTAGTTGGGTTTACTCTCTGTGTTATGATTTCTATATTTTCATATTTTATTTCTATATTTCCCTTCATGTATTTGACCTTGCCCTGACCCTTTTGCCCCCTTCCCCTCTCCTTGGGGGAAATCTACAAGGAAGCTGCCCTGCCTCTGGAAAAGCCATCAGCGATCAGGAAAAGACCCTTCTCTTTGGACATTCTTTGCATGGACCATAATAAAGGAAATCCTTTTGACTTCGGAGTTGGGCCATCTTAAGGGTTCCTGTGTGGCAGACTTTTTAATCATATAACAATGGGGAGAATTTGACCTTAGGAAAGTCCTCTTTTTCTCCAAGCCGTTTTTCTTTCAAATCTTCCCACTAAGGACATTCACAAAAGTTCCCCCTTTGTGCCCTATCTGATTGTAAGAGGAAAACCTGGATTAAGCCATCAATGCTTATCACAGACCCATCTCAGGACAACAAAGTGGCTTCTCTGGAAGGCCGATCCCCGGACTCGATAAGCCTAAGGACATCACAACTCCATAATCCACTCCAGAATGCATTGTCTCCCTTCATCCCGCCTCCCTCCTTTCTGATTCGCTGTAGTGTTGAGGCAGCAGGAGCCTCCTGATTGTCTCTGGCGCATCGCGAAAGCCCTGGGATTGGCCCTGATGCATGCGGGACAGCCAAGCCTCCTCCCAGCTGTTTGTGCGTCAGCCAATCCCCTTCGAGCTGGGCGGGAGTGGGAATTTTGAAACTCACAACTCTGTATTTTCTATAAAAATGGCCTTTATTTCTGTAACCACATGCTCTGTTTGGCGAATGATTGCTGCTCTGCATCCTTTTCAGCTGAATCGCTAATAAACATCTCAGTGACACTTTCTTCCACTTGGTGAGACCTTTTATTGGGAAAAATCACAGATTGGGTGCTTGTCTCGCCAGGGTAACGAACTCTTTAAGGAGTCTGATTGGTCTCTGCCTCCTGGCAAAGACCCATAAATTCCAGTTCTATACCTGAAGGTGCACAGAGATGGGCACCGAGGTGGATTTGTTTTATTTATTTATTTATTTATTTATTGACTAGCTGTACCCTACCCACCATGCGTTGCTGTGGCCAACTTTCCCTCCCTCTTTCTCTCCTTCCTTCGCTTCCTCCTTCACTTCCTCCTTCCTTCCTTCTTCCTTCTTTCCTTCTCCTTTTCTTCTTTTCTTCTCCCTTCCTTCCTTCTCTACCTCTTTCCTTCCTTCCCCCTTTATCTTTTCCTTCCTCTTTTTCTCTTTCCTTCCTTCCTCGCTTTTTGCTTCCACTTCTTTCCTTTCCTTCCCTCCCTTTCTCTCTTTCTTCCTTCTCTACCTCTTTCCCTTCTTCCTTGCTTTCTCCTCCTTCTCTTCCCTCCTTTCTCCTTCCTTCTTCCTTTTTCTTTCCTTCTCTCTTCCCTTCTCTACCTCTTTCCCTCCTTTCCCCTTTTTTTCCTTCTCTTTCTCTCCTTTTTTCCTCCTCTACCTCTTTCCTTCCTTCCTCCTTCCTTTGCTTTTTGCTTCCATCCTTCCTTCTCTCTTTCCTTTTTTCCTTCCCTCCCTCTTCCTTTCCTTCCTTTGCTCTCTTTCCTTCATTTTTCTTTCCTTTTCTCTTTCCTTCCTTCTCTACCTCTTTCCCTCCTTCCCCCTTTTTTCCTTCTCTTTCTCTCCTTTCTTCCTCCTCAACCTCTTTCCTTCCTTCCTTCGCTTTTTGCTTCCATCCTTCCTTCTCTCTTTCTGTCTTTCCTTCCCTCCCTCTTCCTCTCCTACAATACAATAAATAAATAGCAAGGAGGCTATTTATTTATTCTATTTGTCTCCTGCTGTAAGACTGTAGGATCTATATAGCAATATTAAATAACCACTCACAAGCCGGTTTTGCTTTGAAATGGATATATTGCTTGTATCTCTGCAGCAAAGAAAGACACTACTGACTTTTTCCCACCACCACTTCCTTTTAGACACCTTTCCTGCCCTTTCACCCCTCTTCTCAGTTTCCTTATTAAAACTTATTGCTTCACAAATTCCTATACAAGGCTTCCAGTGTGGCTTCAGTGTGTCACAGAGAGAGAATTGATTCAACCAGGATGATTCAGTCACGATGCCATGGAGGGAATTTGTGATGTCTTCATGCTGTCAGAAATTGACTCCTGACACCTGCTTTCTCTTCCTCAAGGAGCTCAAAGTGGCAATTGCAACTGCAAGGCCCCCCAAAACGAAAACTCTGGAGAGAAGCAAGGACGGTTTTCAGCAGCTGAAAATCCTTGGATGATACTTTCATTTTGATCTGGAAGTTATTAGCTAGACAGCACGATAGATTATGTTAATGTTGGTGATGTCAAGCTTACCATTGACTTAGTAATAGTGACCCTGTGAGAGGATTATTGCTTGAGGCTTGTAATGCGCATTTGAAGCTCCCTGGCCATGAATGGAAAGGCTTACCATCACATGACGTCGGTTCCAAACTCACTCCAAACTTGTTTTGAAGCAGCACTTTTCAACAAATTTCAGAAACTTAGGCTCCTGAAAGTGACCAAGGCGTGAATCGGCATTTGTCTATCAAAGGATTACTCTACTGACTCTCTATGCCAGTGTTTCTCAACCTGGGGATTGGGACACCTGGGGAGGTCATGAGGGGATGTTAGAGGGAACATCCAGTATTTTCTGTTGGTCATGGGGATTCTGTGTGGGAAGTTTGGACCAATTCTATCGTTGGTGGGGTTCAGAATGCTCTTTAGTTGAAGGTGAACTATAAATCCCAGCAACTACAACTCCCAAATGTCAAAGTCTAGTTTTCCCCAAACTCCACCAGTGTTCATATTTGGGCATATTTAGTATTGGTACCAAATTTGGTCCAGATCCATCATTGTTTGAGTCCACAGTGCTCTCAGGATGTATGTGAACTACAAATCCCAAACTCAAGGTCAATGCCCAGTATTTTTCATTGGACATGGGAGTTCTGTGTGCCAAGTTTGGTTCAATTCCATCATTCGTGGAGTTCATAATACTCTTTGATTGTAGGTGAACTATAAATCCCAGGAACTACAACTCCCAAATGTCAAGGTCTTGTTTCCTTCAAATTCCACCAGTGTTCATATTTGGGCATATTGAGTATTGGTACCAAATTTGGTCCAGATCCATCATTGTTTGAGTCCACAGTGCTCTCTGGATGGAGGTGAACTACAAATCTCAAACTCAAGGTGAATGCCCAGTATTTTCTGTTGGTCATGGGAGTTCTGTGTGCCAAGTTTGGCTCAATTTTATCACTGGTGGAGCTCGGAATGCTCTTTGATTGTAGGTGAACTATAAATCCCAGCAACTACAACTCCCAAATGACAAAATCAATCCCGCCAACCCCACCAGTATTCAAGTATGATCGTTATTGGGTATTTCTGCCAAATTTGGTCCAGGGAATGAAAATATATCCTGCATATCAGATATTTACATTATGATTCATCATAGTAGCAAAATTAGAGTTGTGAAGTAGCAACAAATATAATGTTATGGTTGGGGGTCACCACCACATGAGGAATTGTATTATGAGGTCACAGCATTAGGAAGGTTGGGAAACACTGCTCTATGCCCTCTTTCAAAAGTTACCACCTTAGCCCCTCCAGGCTGACATTTCCCATTCCCATTTTATTTTCCCTCAAAGAAGAAAGCCAGACTTACAGAAAACATTGAGTGTGTGGCTGTCATTGCTACTAGAAGCGCTGTTCTTGACCAAGCAGGTGTAGACGCCCAAGTCTTGCTTGATCGTCGTGTTGAACGTTAAGACACGGCTATCGTTGCTCAAAGAGACGCGATCGTCGCTTTCCAAGATCTGGTCCCCTTTGAACCAGAAGAAGGAGACCTCGCTGCCCTTTGCGGCACTGCAAGTCAGGGTCGTGATGTCGCCTTCCAGGATCTCACTGGGAGTACTGGTGATGGAGACTCCACTAACTGGTTCTGCAGAGAAAGAAAAAGAGGACAAAATGAGGTAGGTACCTCTGTTTGTAAATAAAATCACAAGATCTGCAGTTTCTCAAGTCGCTACTGACACGGGGGAAAAATTACTTTGCAAATGAATTATTTACATTCGAGTGCAGAAGGATGCATCCAAGTGCAAAAGGATGTATCCAAGTGCAAAAGGATGCATCCAAGTGCAAAAGGATGTATCCAAGTGCAAAAGGATGCATCCAAGTGCAAAAGGATGCATCCAAGTGCAAAAGGATGCATTCAAGTGCAAAAGGATGCATCCAAGTGCAAAAGGATGCATCCAAGTGCAAAAGGATGCATTCAAGTGCAAAAGGATGCATCCAAGTGCAAAAGGATGCATCCAAGTGCAAAAGAATGTATCCAAGTGCAAAAGGATGCATCCAAGTGCAAAAGGATGCATTCAAGTGCAAAAGGATGCATCCAAGTGCAAAAGGATGCATTCAAGTGCAAAAGGATGTATCCAAGTGCAAAAGGATGCATCCAAGTGCAAAAGGATGCATCCAAGTGCAAAAGGATGCATTCAAGTGCAAAAGGATGCATCCAAGTGCAAAAGGATGCATCCAAGTGCAAAAGAATGTATCCAAGTGCAAAAGGATGCATCCAAGTGCAAAAGGATGCATTCAAGTGCAAAAGGATGCATCCAAGTGCAAAAGGATGCATCCAAGTGCAAAAGGATGCATCCAAGTGCAAAAGGATGCATCCAAGTGCAAAAGGATGCATCCAAGTGCAAAAGGATGCATCCAAGTGCAAAAGGATGCATTCAAGTGCAAAAGGATGCATCCAAGTGCAAAAGGATGCATCCAAGTGCAAAAGGATGCATCCAAGTGCAAAAGGATGCATCCAAGTGCAAAAGGATGCATCCAAGTGCAAAAGGATGCATTCAAGTGCAAAAGGATGCATCCAAGTGCAAAAGGATGTATCCAAGTGCAAAAGGATGCATCCAAGTGCAAAAGGATGCATTCAAGTGCAAAAGGATGCATCCAAGTGCAAAAGGATGCATCCAAGTGCAAAAGGATGCATCCAAGTGCAAAAGGATGCATCCAAGTGCAAAAGGATGCATCCAAGTGCAAAAGGATGCATCCAAGTGCAAAAGGATGCATCCAAGTGCAAAAGGATGCATCCAAGTGCAAAAGGATGCATCCAAGTGCAAAAGGATGCATCCAAGTGCAAAAGGATGCATTCAAGTGCAAAAGGATGCATCCAAGTGCAAAAGGATGCATCCAAGTGCAAAAGGATGCATCCAAGTGCAAAAGGATGCATCCAAGTGCAAAAGGATGCATCCAAGTGCAAAAGGATGCATCCAAGTGCAAAAGGATGTATCCAAGTGCAAAAGGATGCATCCAAGTGCAAAAGGATGCATTCAAGTGCAAAAGGATGCATCCAAGTGCAAAAGGATGCATTCAAGTGCAAAAGGATGTATCCAAGTGCAAAAGGATGCATCCAAGTGCAAAAGGATGCATCCAAGTGCAAAAGGATGCATCCAAGTGCAAAAGGATGCATCCAAGTGCAAAAGGATGCATCCAAGTGCAAAAGGATGCATTCAAGTGCAAAAGGATGCATCCAAGTGCAAAAGGATGCATCCAAGTGCAAAAGGATGCATCCAAGTGCAAAAGGATGTATCCAAGTGCAAAAGGATGCATCCAAGTGCAAAAGGATGTATCCAAGTGCAAAAGGATGCATCCAAGTGCAAAAGGATGCATTCAAGTGCAAAAGGATGCATCCAAGTGCAAAAGGATGCATTCAAGTGCAAAAGGATGTATCCAAGTGCAAAAGGATGCATCCAAGTGCAAAAGGATGCATTCAAGTGCAAAAGGATGCATCCAAGTGCAAAAGGATGCATTCAAGTGCAAAAGGATGCATCCAAGTGCAAAATTATCTATGCATCCAAGTGCAAAAGGATGCATGAGCTTCACAGGCAATGGCCTTTGGAAAAGATGGGCAAAACTCAGGTGAAAGAGAGGGAAAACAAAGGTGTGATTTATGGATTGCTGGAAGATAAATAATTAGAGCAAACAGCCTGAGAGAAAGGCTGCTTCTGCATAAAAAGTGTTATTGTTATTCCCTCCCTTCTTTAGAGACACCTCTTCCTGCTAAGGAGTGGCTGGGCAATGGCACAAAGTCCTGGACGGTGACCCAAAGGTGTGTTTGGCACCAGAAATTGCTTCTTAAGACGGGACACGTGCACAGCGAGAGCTCCAGTTCTCTTATGTCAACTTGCCTACTTCCTGGGCCAACTGCAATTACTTCTCCTACCACTTCTGCTATGTATACTGTTCTGGGCTTCCTGTTCCTATGCAACTCCCCCAAAGTCCCTGGAAGTCCCATTCAACTTGGCTTCCTAGATCTCAGCACATAGACATTTGCAGCAGTTAAGTTTAGAAACTTCCTCTTTTAAGTTCTAGATCAGTGTTTCTCAACCTGGAGGTCGGGACCCCTGAGGGGGTCGCGAGCGGGTGTCAGAGGGGTCGCCAAAGACAATCAGAAAACACAGTATTTACTGATGGTCATGGGGATTCCATGTGGGAAGTTTGAGCCAATTCTATTTTTGGTTGAGTTCAGAATATTCTTTGATGGTAATGAACTATAAATCCCAGCAACTACAACTCCCAAATGTCAAGATCTATTTTCCCCAGACTCCACCAGTG